TCCTACAAAGTGTCTATAACAGCAGAATAGCAATAATCTACTGCTTAATTTCCAGTAACTATAAGCACCCCCCCCCCAAGTCTTCCTTCTCTTGTCCGCAAAATGAGCAGCAAAGTGAGAGGAGTGTGAAGGGGTACGTGGTTCGTGGTGTAATGGTCATCCGCTATGAAATCCCGCTTGCAAAAATCTCTAAACCTGGCTGAGTAACATGGATCAGTGCACTTCAATTTAATGCACTTGTGTTTCGCGCGCTAAACACCCAACCACGCACCACTATTCACCATGCAGCTGATGGCATATTTCTGAGAGAGAAACGCCGATGCTACGCATACCTAAAAGAACCACCTCGCGCTAGAGTTTGTCTTCAACACATTGACAACCAAAGAAAGACAAACGCTACTGCAACGCCATAAACATTTGTCAATACCATTCTGAATCTATAAAAATTCCGATGGAACCTAAGACATATTTCACGTAAAAATTCATATGACATCAATGAGCAATGAAATATGGTCTGCTTCAAAGTAACTTTTTGAAAACATGGGTTCATCGATTATTTCGTTTCCTTTCCCTCTAATGAAAAATTCTTGCAAATATACTTTAATAGCAACAAAAAACAATGAATGAGCTGCACATTTTGCGACAGCATATGGCAAAGGTGAGGATAGGGTTAATTAGGCGTGGACTAAAGCTAAAAATAAAATAAGGTAACAATTTAGTGCCGGACAGTCGCGCGAAACGACTAATCTCCACGTCGTCTCTTGCAGATAATCCTTGATCTTCGTTGAGCTAGAATCATTTCAATCCACAAAAACAGTTCTCTTTCTCAAAACTAAGGAGAGAATCATGATAATTTATATGGTGATAAAAAGCGAGCTTCAAATGTGGTAGAAGAGGAGATAAAATATTGCGACAAAAACGCCGACAGCAGGACAGAATCTACCTCACCCCAACTAGCATATTGCTCCTACTCGAATCAGTCCACCTTGCCGCAATGACACTGTTCACCATGTGATGGCAACAAGGATCAAGCGGCAAAGCGCTCGACGTAGTGTAAGGCCAAAAGGTAGAATATTACCCATATACAATGTAAGCAATGAACCCAATAAACGCCGGTCGGTCGAATCTATATCCTATTGAAAGCTGATAAAACATACGGGTAGCAGAATCAATGGCAAAAAGAGCTTCACAGAAAGAGAATCTGCTGTTTGGATAGCACGGAGCTCTGCAACCAACTGAGAATATTAGATGATATTCTCATAAAGCTGAACGTCATAACACTCCCTTCTCCCTTTTCCCGCGTCAGAAAAACTTAACAATTTGGGAAAGGGTTCGTTGAAGAAAACAGCTGGTAACAACAAATCGATAATGCGGCTTTAGACTAAAAATGAGATCACTTGGATTGTACGTGACTAAGGTGAGATAATGCCAGCGTGCATATCACCTCTTTAATAATGCTATGAAAACTGAAAAAGTTCGAATTTGAACATATACGATCACAGCTGTCGCCATGCAGATACCTCGCCAATTGGGATTTGTGGCCCGTCTGAATATGGATTTCCCGTATAACACGACTACGACATCGCGTCAGGATAGACAACTATTCGTGTCTGTACCTTTTACCTGTTCTACCATTAATAGATTAATTCTCTGCTGTATTTTATTTCAGAAACCTCATTTTCAGTAGATCAATGTGCTTATAGGTATTTTTTTCCTCGAAAAGAGGGAGCGGCGTTGATACCTCGACAAAATAAGCATTCTTGCACGGATTCCTGACCTCTGAAGCTATCTGATGGCTACAGCCGTTGCAGCCTACCATATGCCAGCATGCAAATAAATATGATGTTCTGAAGATACGATGTAAAATCCTTCCCTAACTTAATTCCAGGCGGGACGCGTTACATACTTGACAATAATTAATAATTCGCTGGCAAAGACCATATAGGTAAATCCTCATTCATCAGACGTTAAAAGCACACAATCCCGCGATCAAATTTACGGTTACAGCAATAATATGGTTTGCTGCCGAATTGACCAAGGATAAAAAAAGGCAAAGAAAACCGCCGATAAAGCTCAAGACAACCTCTTGCAGAATGAAGGGGCGCGGCCGGACGAGTTGTACGAACCTGCCTGCTATCAACTCAACTAACCCGCGCGTATTTGAATTAGCCGCATGCCATCACGTCGTTGTCAATGTGCGCGCGTCGTAACTCCGTTCGAATGCAAGATTAGAGCAAAAAAAGAACTTTGTAAGACGCATAGTGCAATTGTCGCCACGGCCAACAACAGCCATATCTGTGCCACTGTCGTGGGCTATCTTGTCCCCTTTTTCCTAAACAGATCTTCGTTGCGACACTTCTCTGGTAAATTGTTGCTTTGAGATGAAATCAACAGTAAAATCTGTGTTCTCCCAGGCAGGAAACTCTGAGAGGGAGACAAATTCGGCATATTGGTCTAGAAGCTCTCTAACAAAGTGACACACCATTCGGGATATTGCCAATACACCCCCTGAGTGTTATACGTACTCCTCTTAGGCATAAGCTACACGACTCTCCCCTATGGTATGTAAAACCCTTCGATGGGTCCCGTGACTCACCTTCGTCTCAGGCCTCGTCATCCATTCTCTTTCCAGAATACTTAAAACAGAACAAGAGTTAACCGAAAAATACGCCGCACGTGGAGGGGCGCTTATTCCACAACGAAGACAGCAAAGCCCAAATATCCGTCAAGTTTTCAAAATTCTGCTAACAATTTTCCAGAGAATCTTCAAAAATTAAATAGCGCCCTAACTGCTGACCAAATTCTCAACTGGCTTCTCAGATACAGTTTTAAATTGCTCAAGCAAAACGACTTTTTGCCTAGAGAGCTCAAATGCGACCCCTTCCTCCTATCGCAAACTATCGCAATGCCACCCCGTGCAACTAGCCGCAGCAATTCGAAGAAAATTTCCAACGGAAATGGAGTGAAGCAAATGCGCCAAAGCAGTCCAACGTCTCTTAGTTAGGTATCAAACTCTAGAAAGCTCAAGATTTTCCTGCGGTATCAGCCCCATCTTCCTTTTCGAAACCGTCCCGTTTAACGATCGAGGCTAGCACCCCATCTTTCTTTTCGAAATCCCTCGTCAACGTCGAGCAAATTAGAAAGGGTGTTGAAAAGACCTGCACCACAATTCAGTTATTATTTCCGCCAAATCCGATAAAAAACGTTCATCACAAGAGAAACAAACTGGTTATTCTCACGTAATCAACCGCATAAAATGCACAGCAATTCTTTCTAAATAATATTTTCTAATGAGACTCGACACAATACTGAATAACGAATTTCAACCAGCACCGGGGCGACCAACGGACGGGTTTCCGAACGGAATAGGTTTAGTGATGAAAAAACGATCAATACGAAATGTTTCGGAGAAATGTGAAACTGAAATAATTTCAGACTCATCAATTGATCGATCTCTGAGCAACCACTTCTCCGACGACGATAAACTCCATTTAACATCTGTCGGCTTGGTGTCAAGAAAACAAGAAAACGAATAAACCAAAGACGAAAATCGTGACAACAACCAACGCGATAACATTTGAAGCGGACGGTAAAAATTACCGTACCAGCAGCTTTCAAGCCATAAAAACTGAGCCAAATAGATTGGCGAATCTCCCAGAAAATATTACCCAGATTCTTTTGCTATTCATCATCATGGCGGATCGAAAAGAGGAGACGAGCAAAACGACGCGTAAGAGCGATGAGCAGATTGGCGACGACTGCACTGCGGGGATTAGCACTAATGGTACGAATCGCCGCGCTCGGAACTACAGACACATTCCGCTATCAAAAGCGCAGAAACGATAGTCATATTCCGTGAATGCGACCAAAACCGCAAAATTATTACGTGTTTGTACCTGATTAGCCATGTGAACGATCGCCGCGCCCTATCAATAGCTGTGCGGTCCCGCAATGATTCTTGCCTTGCTCAGGACTCTATTGAGCGTCACTTGTCCTGTTCTCCTCCTTGTAAGCTGAAATGTTGCTCGGATGGATTGATTCAGAATATGCTTCAGCCCCGGGAAAAGCCGATGGCGCAATGTGCCCTAGAAGGGGGGGGGGCGACGAAGGAGGGTCAACCGTCACGCTCGCACTTTTTCAAAAATTTCGCGACCCCCTCCCTTTAGGGGGTCTCGATCACTACCATCATCATGTCCCAATACGATGCCCCTTACCAGTCGACACAGCTCAACTCCGTTCACTTTCTCCTCCGAAAACATCGACCGGGAGGGGGGGGGGGTTGGCTGATGGAGGGGTTAATTGGTATCACGGGGCGGGCAAATCTACCAACTACCCTCATCAAAGTTCCATCAAATTCGTTAAAAAATCCGTCCATTCACATTCCCCTTCACCTACCACGTTCCCACTATGAATAACATTGCTCAACCCCAAAATTGCGAAGGCCTCTGAGGGTAAGCCTAACGCAGAAGAAAGAGAATGCACGACCAGGAGTCCCCATCGTTTGAATAGTGGAACGGACTGTTGACCCTATGGCGAAGGTTTCTAAGGGTAAGCCTAACACAGGAGGACGAGAATTGTACGACCTCGGAATCCCCACTCTCCTCTGAAGCTTGGTCTCAAAACTGAGCGTTCCCGTGAATCTGAAGCAATCTGTTACGGGCTGCCCCACCACCCCCCCCCCCCCGGGCCACATTGTGCCAAGGCGCTTGTGCAGAACGTCAGCCGTATGAAGTCAGCAATTTCGGATTCTCAAACAGAAACAACTAGGCTTTCGGTTACTGTTGTAGTTTTCGGCAGTTTGTCACCAATCTTTCTCATACGTGTACTGCCCCGGTATTTGACCTTGAGGGTCATCTGATTGTCTACCAGGACAGCGTCCGACTTCTCAAGGAATGTCACAATTACGTGTCAATTTCGTCATTCCGTTATGACATAAGTACTGCGATTGGTGACTCGCATGGTGCCGCACACCATCTCGACGACGTCTCGGGTGCGCCACCATGACGGGGCGTGGCCTGAGCGCGGGCGATAGAGGCTTGGAGCGAACCGCCGGCGGCGGCATAGGTGTCTATGCTAACAAACGGAGCACCTCATCGCGTCATCTACAACCCATGCTAACGTCTATACTGGCTGCTTTGGCAGCTGCTCTCAGTTCATGGAGCATCTCAGCCGCTCCGGTCACGGAAAGGTCATTCGTGGAATTTCCGGATCAGATGAACAATGGAACTGTGTATTCCATCAGCCCATTCTCACCGAAAGTCTTCGTACGAACTGATGAATTCGAATTGAATTTTAAATCATGTATTGAATTCTCTTACAAGCTTATGGAGAACAAAGTTCGGTGAGTTCTTTCTTCAAAATTATTTCGAAATCTTCTGTTCAAACCTCGTACCCCCTTCAGTTTTGTGTGTTTCTCGGCTCGTATAATCGTTTTCTCACCCTCCGTACTGTTTTCTTTGTACCATGTGGGACTATAGCCACGAAAAACCCTGCTGACGAGCCAGTTGCGATGACCCAAAATGATCAGAAGAACTGTGCGATCGGGGTCAGTTATGTGCACTCAAATCGCTACGGGATTACTGTAGATTCTCGTCGTAAACGCCATTAACTATATAATATAATATCCATGATCGTCATTCTGATGCCACACATCTCACATCCAAACTATCGACGCTTCTTTTCGTCTGAGAGCGTCCCGAATATTGTGCTGCTGGGAGACCTCTTCGTTCAACTTCGTTTGTTTACTTACTATCACCAATGTTCGCCTAGGTGTGATAAGCCAAGCGCTTCGAGCGCTTTTTTTCACACCACCCCCGTACAGTACTTCTATACCGGGTTTTTTACTAGCTAGCACTTGAAATCTATACCTTAGGACTATAAATTCCACCCAAAGTCCAGCGATCAGGCCATTCCAAAACTGTAAACCAATAAAAATGTCAGAAGGCTGTTCGTCTTATCATAATCACTAAACAAGCGAACCTTCCTACCAAAAAAGGCAAGTCAGCAGTATCGATTGCTGACTCGGGGGAATTGTCGATACTATCATTTGAGAAAATTCACCATTTTAGTTCCCGGCTTATACAGCAATATGACGTAACCGTTACAGAAAGCTAACAAATCGATGAGAAATCTGAATGTTTTCGGGAAAAAAAGGCTACTCAACATAAACAACAACGAATTTCAGTCTTCGTGCCTACACCTGCTTGCTGTCCGAGGGCGGTTTCTGTACCCTCGACAAATTCGCTTATCCAAAAGACAAGGAAGGATGTGCCTATCTACGTCCATGGCTTTATGCACACGACAGGTAGGGTGATATCAACGAATGTTCTGACTGGCGCCAAAACTAATCACGTCCACAAATTACAGGTACTCGTTCTATTTTGCACTAGAACGTCGTCCACGAAGGTATCGAATCGGTAAAAAGAAACCAACTCGAATGTGGAAACGAAATGGCCAACTATCGGCCACTCCTTTTGGTCAACTTGAACTTAAAGGAATCGTACCATGTGATCAGGTGTGTGGCAAAAATACCGTCGATAATCGTACCGGTGGTTAAACGCTTGAAAAGTGACCTTCCTTTGTATAGCTATTGTTCACACGGATAATAATTGAATGTACAATATAGATATATTCTCTTATCGCAGAGTATAGGCCGTACAGTTTTCACAGCCATTTACATTTTTATATCGTTATATTATGTGCCGATGTGTGTGTGCGTCTCACTTGCCCTCCCCTTGCTCGCTTTATCACTGCTATAGTTTTTTGTCGCTATCGCAATATAAGGGGGCATCTTTTAGGACTAAGCCATGAGGGTGGGCAGGAACTTCGCAGGAAATAAAAATGGCTCACGCACTTGGAGTCTCTCCTCCCCTGCCTAAGGCTTAGTCCATTTTTAACAAAAAGAAGATATTTTACGCGGTTTTCAATGCATTGCCACCACATGCCCCTGTATCTTGCGATAGCGCCGTTTTTCCCTTTCTTGGTGCCATTTCTTTCGTGTGTTCATTTTTTATGCCTCCTACCTTCTAGGTGAACATAATAGTGTGATGATGATGATGTGTACGTTCTGATTGTATGCATATTGGGTTCTTTTAGTCATTTCTGAGAGTGATTCTTCTACCGATTGTCGTTCAAACTGAGACGGTTATATGAAGTGCTTAGTCATGAGAGGATAGCTAGCATAGCAGCCAGCTCAACCATCGCCGGCCACGGCTCGCCAACGCTTCCATCTTCATTCTCCAGCGAAGTGTTTGTCTTTCATTGGAACGAAGCTCTCTTCGCACCCGCATAGATCGTTTCTGACTAAGCTTTACCACACAATACAATGTGCTTCTCAGCTGACATCATCGTCATTAGAATCGCTTCGCTCATTGTCATCACCGCGCGGGCAGAACACCCCCCCCCCCATTTCCGCATTGCTCTTCCGGTACTGCGAAACGAGAGACGTCAGTCGCGGTCGCGTCGGTCGCTGACGCTCTTGACGCGATAATTCCTAATCAAAACTTTGTATTGTTGGCCCACGTACTCATAAAGCACTTGGAACTCACTTGAGGGTTCGCGCACGAGTCCAAAGAGCACCACCACCCTTTAGGTCTACGCACTGGATTTTGAGCTAATCGAGGAAGTAAGCACGCCGCGTTCATGCCGAGCACCAACGCGAGGGTGTTGGGAGGTCGCCGCGTTCCTCGCATTGCTCCATTCGTTATGTCAATATTCGATTGAAACAACACGAGCATACGCTCAAATAGCCAGAGGAAGAGATCGCCAGCCACTGCACTCACGAATCGACTAACATTGCTTGAATTCCTTGAAACCATTACACCAAAGCAGCCGCAAGGGCACGGACCTTATGGCTCAGTGTTGGAATAAGGGTTCAGGGAGGGAACCTACCCAAGGCTCAACTACCGGCTTACTCCTCATGCTTTATTGGTTCGCTCTGAGAACATTCTCTTGAGATTATTTCTAGCTCCAAATAGAAGATTCTAATATGACCGGTCCATTTTTTAAATCTGTATGATATAGCAAGGGCGAAGTGGTGCAGTGGCAAGTGGCGCGCTTACCACGCGAGCGGTCCGGGGATCAAATCCTGGGTCGTGAGTCGCCCGGGCCAACCAAGCCTTCCATCCCTCCGGGGTCGGTTAATTGGTACCAGACTTGTCTGGGAGGATAAAAACATTGACTTGTACATCGGCTGCCCCCCTCCCCGCCCCCAACTCCCAAGGGATTGTATGGGCCAAATCGCATTGAAATTGCCATTACGATACTGGATGGAAGTCGAATGCATGGTGCATCTCGAAGTGGGGTTGATCAATGTCAAATGCTTTATCCTTCTATCCTTCTGAATTAGCCTACCTACCACTTCTCTCGTACTACGAAGAATGAAGTAGGATGCATGGCGCATCCCATATAAACTGACCAACACCAACCACCTTGTTTTTCAAACCAGGGTAAGCTTCTACTAGATATCCTGAGTTTTGCCCCTCAAGATCTTCATGATTTGCTTCTGTACGACTCTCAGGAGCCCGCTAGGCACGGGCACTGCCATTCTCTGCGTTCTCATGACTGTTCAAGGCCGGAAGTTACGAGGTTACGCGTCTCAGATGTGTGCCGCGTTACAGAGCGCTTCCTCCACTTGGTGCAGCCGCCGCTGATTCATGTCTAAACCGCTCTGTGCTCGCGACAGTTGCCGCTTACTGATTCACATATCAGAGGTCACATATGGCAATGTTTTGATGCAGAAAACCCGCTTACATTAAGGGCGGCTACGAAATCGGCGATAGTCATACGAAAGGAAATTGTAGGGACCTTACTCGAAACTGGTGTTATTCCTCGAAACCAGTTAAGCCGTAGGAAAACGTGTGATAAGTTGACAGCCCGATGCACGACGTTTTTATTTTCTTAAGATAAGGCCACCTACCGCGAAAATGAGGCAACAGAAAAAGAGCATTTGGAGCTGATTATGCACTTATGGGATGCGCCATGCATGCTATTTCCTTGGGGGTTGGCACTGGCGATTGAGTGCTAATCGAGCTGATATAAACGACTAAGGGACAACTCTACAACGGGCCCTAATAATATTTCCCTACCATTCTGGCATGAACTTATGCCACCTCAGGGGGGCTGGAGGATTAGAGCTTCTAAAAGTTTAGCTTGATCATGCGGTCAAAACTAAAGCCGCAAATTTCACTCCGGCGTCCACTGTGCGCGGTAGCAGGGATGTTCACATGCCACTTGCACCATCTCGCCCTTTATTAAAGGAGAGCTCGTTAACTAAAACTTTTAGAAACCCATGTCCTTGCATTCATTAACCATTCGCTGCGAACCACGCCCACATCCATTTCCCGTCTTTTTGATATTCTATTTCAAGATAAACGGGAACGGAGTCGACCGAACCTTCCACGTCATCGTGGCGGGCGGTTGGAAATGTTTTCAAGAAAGACGAAAATGTCATGGTGAACTTTGCCATCCTCCGAAATTCTCTGTATAGACCAAACATGCATTCAAATGTCTATACGATTTTGAATCAAACTTTAATGCATAACGCTTCCGCACAGTGACGCAAGTGAAAATTTCCATCAATGGTAGCCGTTCCAGAAGGGGAAATGCTACCCCGCAGACCATCAATTTTAGAAGCCTACAAAAAGCCTTTTAATAATATTTGCAAACTCAACAACACGTCATGAGCTTGTTTTTTGTGGCAAACAAACACTGCAGAAGCTTTGGCAAACAAAACGTGCATTGCGATAAAAGTAATTCAGTGCAATATTTAGACCGAGGAAACCAAGGTCAGACGTGCGTTGCGCAGTTCTCAACGAGGCGGTGGTGGGGGTCGTATTTGACTTTTTGGGTAGGGTCGTATTAGGGGTTGGTAAAGGTCAAAAAGTTGAAAAAAGGGAGATGTGTTTTTAGAAGTTGGATGGATTGTGGTGGAGGGATGGAGTCGTTTTAGCTGGATTTGAGAAATTTTGGCAGAAATTCGAAAAACTAACATGAAGTGGTTGAGATTAGATTAGATTTGTCCTGGATATTAACCCCCTCCTACCCACGCGAGGCCGTTGCCCATTTGAAGGGGAAAAGTGGGCGGAGTCAGGCTGTGTCGACTGATTTGTGGTTGGAATCAAATACCAATTTAGTGATGCTTCCCGTTGGTTGCCGCTTTCGGCGAGACCACAGGTGCTGCCGTCACCAACGTGAAGCTTTACCTGCCTTTTTGCTAAGAGAGCCGTTCGACGACGAGAGACCAGCGGCTGGGTCACCTAAGCGGAGGAAAGGCCAAGGAGC